CTCCTTGTAACAACCCGTCCTAATTAATTTTACGAATTTTGGAACGAGGGTATTTTGTTTTTGCTTTTGGTCTTAATAGGTATGCCAAGAGGCCCTCCCTTGATTTTTGTCCCCTGGGCCCAAGCCTCTCATCTCCTTTCTCTCACAGTTCTTTCTCTTTCCTGACTCACTCTTACTTCTCTCCCTTCTCTCACGGCAAGCACCAAGATAGTGCCATGGGGAAAAACCCCACTTGAAAAACCATCACAGCCTTGGCGAGGCGCCTCACTTCTCACCACCTAGACCTCGTCGTCATGAACCTCAGCAAGGAGACCTGGAAACTCAATAGTGGCTGAGGCCATTGTTCATTCTTTTCCCGACTCCATCACGTCCGATGTAGGTAAGCTTCGAAACAACCTAAACATTTTTCCTCCTTTGTCCTCATATTTCATTTCTGATCATATTTGTATGTTTTGGACAACAAAACCATGAAGAAACATCACAGAAAGGCTTTCCCAGATTCTAGCAATAATATTGTGATTTTCAAACCCTTTTTTGGCCAACTCCAGCCACCACTCGTCTTTAAATTGGTGTAGATCTCTTCCTTGTCCCTTGGTCTTCCTTTTGGTAGGTAGATTGTAGGCTATGGTTGAGAACGGGTCAAAACCCGATCCACTAGCCTATGCCAACCCAACTCGTTAGGCCATGGAACCCAGCCTAATACTCTCGACCCAGACCCAAGTAACCTGAGCCTAACCTTGAGGCCCAACTTAGAGAACCCAAGCCCAACCCAAATGAGAACCAGCTCACTAACCCTCGGCCCAGCCCAGCTGAACCGGCCCAAACCCGTCGACCCATGTACCCATTGACCGATCTAACTTGACCCGGATGGAATATTCTCTGGAATATTCTTTGTGTTGACTTTTACAAAATTTGCCCGGGACCACTCTTAGAGTAATTCAACATCTTGAATCTGTTTCCGACGTTCGTTTTTTCCAAATTCAATCATTATAGTAGAGTTTTATTAATGAGACCCTTTATGTGCTTAGGTGCATTTATTGTGGAGTTTCTGTCTTTACTAGTTTGCATGGCTCATCAATGGCGAAGTATCTGTGAGTGGACCCCTTCTAAAATGCATGATTTTACTATTAGAAATGCATACATGAAAATCATGATTTATTGGTTACATTTTATGAAATGTTTATGAGTAAATTGGTTTCACGCTTTATGAATTATCATGCTTTATCGACTTTACATTCCTTGTGGTATATATGATTAATGACTATATATACATACTTGTGAACGTGGTTTTACGATATGACGTTTTAGCTACTAAACTCCAATTAAGAGATATATATATATATATATATATATTAGAAATATTATTGTAATGTTTTTATGTACTTATTTAGTGGTTACTCAACAGTCCTGCCTATGGGCGAATGATATATATATTAGAAATATTATTGTAATGTTTTTATGTACTTATTTAGTGGTTACTCAACAGTCCTGCCTATGGGCGAATGATACTACCTAAGGACGAACGGTAATGCCTACAACCAAATGATACTTATATGGCTTCAGCCGGGCATTTGGTTGGTGCCTACGGGCTGAAGATATTTATATTGGCTTCGGCCGAGCGTTGGTTAGTGCTTACGGGTGGAAGATAATTATATTGGCTTCAGTCGGGAGATGTAGTGCCTTCTGGCGATTGAAGATATATGTTAATATATATACTTATATATATACCCTGTACTACCACTACCAAGCACTTTTTATATGATATATGTTTTATGAAAGGTTTTATGGCACGCTAGGGTTTTTGGAAAACCTATTACATATTATACTATGAGTTTCTAAACCTAAGGGTTAATACGTTAAAGATTAACTGTTTTAGTATTACTTATTTATCAACTTAGTCCACTTATGTTTTGTTTTGCGCCCCCCCAAGGACTTAGAATCGAGGTGCACAATCCCAGCATCAAGGCACTCCCGCATCGGCATCTTCGAGTCCTCTCAGTGTAGGACCCATCTCTTTGTTCATTCAATTTTATATTATTCCTTTTTAGTGTCTCGGATTAGTTGTATGCTCCGAACACGTTCCATAATTGCATATTCATTATAATTAAATTTGCAAGTTTTAGTTATGTTGGTTAATTGTTTCTAGTTCTCATGCATCCTAATATGGCTTCGTCATCTTCAGGTGTCGGCCAACACATGCCCACCCTGATGTTTGGGGAATATCAAGGTCGGGCGTGTCACTCCCAGAGGGCAATTGTATTGTATGGAATATCTCATCACCTAAATCAAATGAAAGTATGTATTCCTCACCATCACTTGCAAACCAATAACAAAATCCCTTCAAGTACACTGAACAAGAAGAATGATAGGTTTTGCTTGATATATCAAGCTTGATCTCTCTCCAAGAGTTAGCAGTCGTGGTGCATACATCAGCCGTGTGAGGAAGAGTAATACGATGATAATATGTTTGCTCATCATTTGAATACTCACAATTTTCTATAATTTGCACAAACTTTTATTCTTTAGCTTTGCAATCATAGCCAAATCCCAATCCTTGAAGGGTAGTTTCAAATTCGAATTTTCCCTTGGGAGGGGAAGGTACAAGAAGGCATGAATGGGGAAGTTGCCCGAATTCCCCCGTTGCAAGATTGCATAAAAGAACATTTTTCCCTACTATTACACAAACAATCCCATTGCAATAGCCGTGACTTTGCACAAATTCATGATCTTCCAATGGAAACGGTGTATTTAGGTCCTCAACATCATAATGAAGGTTGTGCTCATCACTATCAATGGAAAGATTAATCATGGACCAGAAAACTTCTCGTTTCCAAATCTGGTCTGGGAAAAAAGTGTGACTTGGAACGGTTAAGAAGGATACAAGTGGAGGATGAGAGTTTGTTGTTCATGGAATTGTTGAGATGTTTGGCCACAAAACTTGGACCATTGATGAGAGTGCACCAAGACTCGTGTACGCATTTGAATCGTATCAGACACTTGGGCGGCAACCTGGATAGGATTTCGACCGTCCTATCTTCAGAAGTTTCACTTTCATGTGCCTGGAACATTTTGGCAATTTAGTCCCACAAGAATTCTTCACATGTATATATACACAGGAAAGAACACCACCAGTTTGAGAGCCAAACTAAATCAAACTACAAGTCCCTAACGCTTGGTAGATCGTTTTTAAGCATATTTACCACATAAGATGCCAAAATTCAATAGTACTAAATAAACTTGGAGTTCCACGATCACAACATATATAGCTACCAAAGAAAACAGGGGCAATCTAGTCAATTTCGAGATTTATGGAGAATCATATGTTCAAATTTTACTATTTTTTTTTATTTGACACAAAACTAACCATTCAAATATTACGTTTAATTTTACATTAAATTGATGAAATAAAAAAAGACGAATGGAACGTAATTCCTCCTTTTGGATATTAGATTAGCTGTAGACACATTTTTAATGTTTTCTTTCTTGTAAATTATTTTGAGATTAAATAACTAAAAGCATTCTTAAACAAGGTTCTAAAAAACGTTAGGTGCTAGTCGAACGGCGGGCTGGCGCCTAGCGCCTAGGCTGCTATGCGGCCTAGGCGGATTTAGGTAAATTTCTTGTATATCTTATAAATAAGTGCATATTGACACTTACAAAAAATTATACTTGTATGAAATTTATGGATAAGATAATAAAAGAATGATAAAATGTAAAAAGAGAATCAACAAGTCCAAAATTTAAAAACACATTAAGCATATATGCCATATAACCATAGTGAGGAGTATTGTAGGATGACACATGTACAACAAGTTCACAATTTTAAACCACTTAGACTTAGATAGGATTTTTTATTTTATTTTTTTATTTCATTAAAAAATAAATAAAAACCGCCCAGCTTCGCCTAGCATAGCCTAGCCTTGCCTAGCCCCCCTAGCCGCCTAGAGCTCATCCGATTTTTCCCACTAATTTGCAAGAAAATGTCTCGGCTCACCACTGCCCAGCGCCTAGGCTGTTTTATAAAACATTGTTCTTAAATCATAAAATGAAAAATCTTATTTGTCTTTTTTGTTTTACAAAATAGTTTTTTAAAACGCCACGAAATAGACCCTTAACTTTCGCAAAAAAATATGCATAGGCTTTTCATATTTCACATAAGGGTTGTTTTATTCACACCCACATATTGTGAATACACCTCATATACCTCACTTATACTTTTTTAATTAAAGTTTCACTTAATACATCCCACATACATTCTCATATTGCCCTCACACCTCACGTGTAACGACCCGTCCTCAATTATTACGGTTTTTATAATTTTAGAGCATGAATTTACGAAAATGCCCTTCGATGCAAAAATGTTGACTTTTGTTGACTACCTTATCGTGTCACGTAAGACCCGCTTCCTTGGCTAATACTTGTAGGTCTCGTCACTACGAACGCGTGGGAGCGAGCATAATCAAAATTTAAGCTAAAACGAAGATTCTATGGAATTTGGAATGTAAGGGCATTTTGGTAATTTTCCAAGTGGAGATATTTTCCGCCTTGGACCATCCCGAGCTGACACGTGTCCCCTTCCCTAATCTTCTAGAATCCTCTCCCGAATCTCTCTTCCCCTCTCGAGCTTTCTCTCTTCCCTCATGATATTTTTCGATTTAGATTCCGCTTTGGAAGTAGAACCGGATTGTGCCCACCCTGGGTAGTATTAAGTGGCATAAAATGAGGAAAAGGATCCTGTGAGGATCCTTTTCCTGGGGATCCGGAGGATCTCGTAATCATGTCCGTTCATCGTATATCGTGCGGTCAGTTTTCGTTAAGTACTATTTATATTTAATTTTAAATATTAAATAATTTTTTTTATCACACAATATACAAAGAACGAAAATGATTATAATATCTCGGATCCCAGAAAAATGATCCAACGGGGATCCTTTTCCATAAAATGAAATTTAAATTGGCGCTCAACGCCTATTACAAAAGCAGAGAGATTCAAATAGCGGAAAGATCAAAGAGGTCGTTAAGCCCGAAGCCTCCCTCATCGGCACACCCGCCCCATTTTCCTCCATCAATAAACGCCACTCGGAAAAGATGCTATCTGTATACGTCCCTCTCTCTCTCTCCCCCTTTCATCACACCCTCTTGCTCTCCCCCTGTTTGGTTCCTCAAATTCCGCAGCTCAGGAATATTTGGACATTCAGTTTCCTACTTTCTGTTTGGATTCTTGAATTGGTTTTCCAATTTTGAATCAAATCAATGAAGACCATGCGCGATATTCTGCGTGCCGATTCTTCGGATGATTTCGATATGCAGACGATAGGCAAGTTCTTGAGTTTCGCTTCCAGAGGCGACAGGGTTGGATTGAACCAGATGTTGATCCAGGGCATATCTCCTGATGTCCAAGACTACGACAACAGGACCGCGCTCCATCTCGCCGCGAGCGAAGGTCACACCCCCATTGTTGAGCTTCTTGTGTGTTACAAGGCCAATGTTAACCTCAAAGACCGATGGAAACGGACTGTAAGAACAACTCTTTAATTGTCTGCCTGTTTATTTTGTTTAATATAAAGTGATTTTTGAGAATTTCTGGAATATGTGTCATGGTGGGTAAGACTTAGTGCAACGGAAAGGTTGCTCCTTGTGACCAAAAGGTCAAGGGTTGAGTCATGGAACAGCCTCGTAAGACTACGTACAATAGACGTTCCTCGACCCTCGCAAAGAGGGAGTCTTGTTACCTTGGAGTCGCTCGGAATGGTAATTAATAATTTTCATGCTGAACTTGTCACACTTTCTGCTGTAGATATATCAATTCTGGGGTGGTCTGCCCAAATCACCAGTTAATTAGAAATTTTTTGGATTGTTTAAATTTTATACTTTTGGTGACATGTTTCTGGACTTGTTTTCTGATAGTTGTTTAGTGTTAACAATTATGTTCGACAATTCTCTTGGACTAAATTGTTACATTTAATAGCTACTAATTACATTTCATGTTCTTCTTTTTTTCTTTTCGTGATGTCAAGCCCCTGACAGATGCGAGACTCTATGGACATCGAGATATATGCAGGATTCTTGAAGTAAATGGTGGCAATGACTTTACCAATGATCAACTAATGGTAATTGAGATATCACTTTACAACACAGATGTAGAGTGAAGCCTAATATCTGATTAGCTTCTAGGATCAGGATTCTCGAGTGATTCGTGCCCAAGTTGCTTATCATATATATTATTTTTACATTAGAGGTAATATCAACATTGCACGATTCCTTTGCTGCAAGCTTTGCAGTGCAATACTGGGATTTGAACTGGTCCAGGGTAAACAATCGATAACATTGCACAAGACTGGAACTTGCATCAATAGCTTTTATGTTCAGTCTGTGGAACAAGTAGTCTGTTATTGCTACAATTGGTTTCTCTTTACAGGTCTATTTGAGGAAATATTTAATATGAGCAAAGTTTCATACTATCGCAAACAAAAAAAAAAGGTTTCATACTACGAATATTAGCAAATGATAAGGCCTATACTTGCGTGTTTGAATTGTTTTAAGTCCAAAATTCCTCCGTTGGAGGAGTAAATTGACACCCTATATATGTATAATATTTAGCAGCTGACCTATCTTCATGCATTTCTACAGACTGTTCGACATGAAGAAGATTCAAATGATGTAAAGTTTGACATGTCAGAACTAAACACAGAGCATTCATCAACAATTAGGCAGGTATATACCATAGTGTAGGGAAATAAAGACAACCTTTTTTGTTAAGTTCAATAGATAAGCAACTAATATGTCAAAATGGGTGTAGTATCAAATGGTTTTGGTAACTATTAAAAATCCATTAATCTTGCAGGGTTCATTTGGTGAATCTGAAAGGGTCAAATGGCGTGGAACATGGGTCGTTAAAACTGTTGTCAAGAGACAAATATGCAATCCTGTAAAAATGTATGTTTGATATATGGGCTTTTTCTTTATGAGTTTCAAGGTGTATTATTTGTTTCATTTAATTTAGGACGAAAGTTTGAACAATCTTTAGGTAATAATAGCTTGCTGCTCCAATCTTGACACAGGATCCTCTCTGCTAAGGATAACACTCTCCTGCGAGAACTTAGACATCCCAATATTTTGCAATTTCTTGGTTCAATAGTGCAGCAGGAAGAGATGGTTCTGATTACTGAGTATCTACCAAAAGTACATACCGCTATCAATTATACGCTATTTTTAGATTGTATGTGGTTTTGTTCTATTTTATATATTGACATACACCATAAAAATCCTGATATTTGCTTCACTGCAATTTTGATTCTTTTGTTTAAGTAAGAGCACTACTAAAAGGAAAAGGACATACTTATTGTCGTTCAGTTATCTCAATAAATTATGCTTTTTCTAGTATATTTAGAAAGAAAACCATCTACTGAGTTGTATTAACTAAGAAGTGAAATTAAAAAGCGATTTTAGTGTATATTGGTTATTTTATGTTAGCGAACTCATTGTTCTTGCATATTCTTTTCTAGACCATTTGTTATTCACGTGTCTGTGACTCTGTACTGAAATGTGAAGCTGCTATGGATGGTCAATTTATCTTTCTTATTCGCGTCTTTCTTTTTTCTTTTCTTTCTTTTTTTTTTTTTTTTCACAATTTATAACTTTGGTGCTATTACAGGGTAACCTGGAAAACATTTTGAGGCAAAAAGCTCGACTTGATTTGCCTACTGCTTTTCGCTACGCACTTGATATTGCTAGGTAATTGATTGTGCTGTTTTTCAGTAATAACTAGTATATCATGTGAAGGAGTTCATGTCCTTACACACGTTGCAATTCTTTCTATCCAATGTGCAACATACATGCATATTTGCTTCATTTACACAAAGGGAGCCACGTTTTCTCCATTTAGCAAAGGTTTAAATCACGTCGATCGTCCAAGTGTTTTGATATGCATGCTTTGTTATTCAGTCTCTGCACCTCAGAAAGCTGTTGCTTTGTAGCTTACATGCTGTTAAGAATATATAGTATAGAATTCCAGAATATGATACGCATACAAATTGGCAGGGGAATGAACTATCTTCACCAACACAAGCCCTGCCCAATAGTTCACAACCATTTGGGTACCAGGTATGCCCTTTCCTCAAACTCAACTATTGCTCATGTTGTATTATGCCACCAATATAATCAAAATATATAAGCTTGACAATCCAAGAGAAAACATCTATTCCTATCTCCCTTAGTTGTTTAAGATTCCCAATTTTATAAACAGTTTCCAAGAATCGAATTTACAATGTTGAAGACAAAAATTAGAAAGAAAGAAAAGGTTAATGCCTTCAAAAAGTGCCACGATTTATTTGCCTGGTGTGCTATTATAGGCAATCATATATGATAACGTTACTAATCCTGTTTTGTCTCCTTGGGGTAGAAACTTGTTGCAGGACGAAGGTGGACACTTGAAGATCGGCGAGTATTGGGTTCAAATGTTGTACGAGCCAATTAACCCAGATCAAAATGGTTGTACAGGAACGTCAAATTCCATTTTACTTTGTTTAAAGTTTTTTTGTTGTGTTTCTGATCAATTTCAATTCACAGGGAAAAGAAGCAATCCCCGTAACATCGAAAACCTAATAGACGACACCAAGAAAGATGTTCGTACATTTGGTTTCATATTTTATCAGGTGCGTGTTTTTAATATTTGGACTTGGTATTTATATTGGCATATGTTTCTGTTTGGATTTGTTATTTTATTTGGCAAGACATTTTCTTGAAATGAGTTTCCCGTAATCCAAAAATATCATACTTCAAAGAATATAAGTTGAATCACTCTGCCTAAAAAAAAAATATATAGCATGTTTAGTTTTGACAGGAAATGTAGGCAAATCTAATATAAGTACTGGTACTAAAACCATGTAACTTTTAGAATTTTAATTATTTCAGAGCAAAATTCAAGATATAAGTGGGGAGTCTTCTTGTCTTGGGGTCGCCCTTTTAGTTATGCTATATGCCAACTCTAACTCACAATTTCTCAGACAATAATACTCTAGTATGATAGTTATATCTCGTCAGTTATCCATTAACTAGTATCTTTGCAGCATATGTATTTGTAAATGTAAACCCATTAGTATCTGTGTTTACCAAGCACATAGAGATCAGAAGTTTTTCATTATACAAATTCAATTAACATTGTTTTAATCCATCGTTACAAAGTTCAATAATTTATTTTTTTATTTTTTTTATTTTTTACATTGGCAAGCTTGAGAATGTAAAGTTTCTGTGTAGAGTCTGGACTAATATTTCGTGTTTATTGTTTATCAAGTAGCTTCTCAAAAAATAAATAAATAATAAATAATAATAATAATTTAACATCATTGCGAGTTTGATTCGTAATCTACAGATGCTAGAAGGAAGGCACTTCATGAACAGCACGAACTCTGACACCAAAAATGAGGAACCTGTTGATTTTAAGCCGAAATTCCACTTAAGTCGATGTACAAACAGAATTCATGAGTAAGTGTACATTTTCATTATCATTTCCGTCTTGCTAAAATGTGAAGCACCAGTTTTGACATTCAGTCGTCATAACAAGCTTTATTATCTGCGTGTTTACATATGTGAGTTGGCTTTATCTTTGTAATCTCTCATCACTATCTGTTTTAGTTTTATATTTAAGCTAATACATTCAGGTTATGTTCGAGTGAGGGATTTGCGACATTTAGGCTATTATTTTTATTATATTTATACGTGACATTTCATTGTTTGACAATACTGGGTATGTAAGTTCTGGTGTATGTTAACGTATGCAGGTTGATAGAGGATTGTACAAGTAATAATCCTTCGGAAATACCCTCATTTGGTTCTGTCATCGAGATTCTGGAAGAGGAATCGTCATCTTTTGGGAGAGCTGTATGCCCTTGTTGAGTGCAGTTTCACAACTGAGATGGACAAGAAAATCACTGAATAAATACAAACATATTTATGTAAAATCTGTGAAGTGAAGATGTTCCTTAGACTATTTTAAATAAATAAATAGTCTGTATAATGCAAAACGTAGAACTGATTTCATCGACAAGCTTATGTAATTTGGATTTACAGACAAGCTTATGTAATTTGGATTTACAAGACTTGTGATAACGATTGTTTTTGGTCCATAGATTTCGAAAGGGTTAGAAGGAATACAATCTTGGGAAAACTAACGGAAACACCCTAGAAAACTTTCATTTAACCTTAAGGACAAATAATTTCAAAAATGGCAATGTTGCCCTTGAAAACCTTAAGACAGAAAAAATCAAAAGTATCCCAATTCCCAATATCCATCAGAAGTCACATGCTTTTCATCAAAGCAAATATAAAAGCTCCAGGATAAAAAACTATACAGGGGGTTCACATGCAAAACAAAAGACAAGCAAGTTCACATGCAAAGCAAAAGGAGACAAGCTAATTCACGTGCATTTATCAAACAAAGCAAGAGTCAGATACATTTTAGAAAAGTGTTGATATTTTCAGCAATAGTAGAAGCAAAGTGACAAGTACCAAGGAGATGTCCACACCATCCATTTGTAATTTTTATACCGTTGTATCCTCATTCAGTATATATAAGTGGAGTTCCATGCATTGAAAAAAAATACCTCAGCACCCCAACACCTGAACACCCTACTCTCACCATATATTCACACCATCTTCATACTCTCAAGCATCCGTAGTCTTCATAGCATCCTTGTAAACACTTTCTTTGTAAACAACTATCTTTGTAAACATTCTATATATTAATAAAAGTTCAAGTGTACATATTCAAGCAATCTCCAAGTCTTAAGTAAGCTTTATTTTCTTTCTTTAGTGTGTTTAATTAGACTTCTAGAAGGAAAACATTATTGTAGTTATATTATTAACTTTCTAAACTGACGATCATACTTTGTTCGAGCACTCTGTTATATTGAATGTTTGCCATACAAATAACTGGACCTTAACCAGGGTACCTCTGAGTTCTTCGTACCTCTGAGTTCAGTCGTTAAGGCCTTATACTTGTACTGTGAGTGATCGTCATGTTGAAACATGTCAAGTTTCATGTGTAAGGTTTTACGTTCAGTTGTTATAATGGTCATCCGACTATTTAATCAGGCTTGCTTCGTGAATCTGGTATCAAAACCAAGTTTAGCATTTTAATAGTATAATCATAATAGTAAAGTACTTTGAGGACAGAAGTCATTAACACAACTGATATCACACTTGTTTATTTTGTATGAACAACATATATTATTGTTCTTGTAAACCTTGTCAACCACAACCACCAGGTATTTATTGTCCCAGACACCCAACTATAAATAGCATAAAGAGAAGATTAGCATATATATCCAAAAGAATTAGCAGGACTTTGAAGAAGCAGAAGTTTTATCTTGGTTATCTTGAACATCCTTCATTTATTCGTAAATATAATAATACAACAGTGCAACACGAAGTTTTAAAAGCAAAAAAAAACAACATATCAAGTTTTAGAGACCTTAAGAGAAGAAAGAGAGTTAAATAATCTTAGACTGTAGTTTATGATAGATTATCTTAATTTAGAAATTAGTGAACCTCAAAAAAGAAAAATAATCTTAGACTTAAATAGTTTAGTTTGTTATTTTTCATTAAGAAAGCATAATCATATTTTGCATAGTGAAGAAAATCCACAAGCCAATAGTATTGTAGATCTTATTATTAGTCAAGTAGAAAATATAAAATTAGAAAATAATAAACATAATCATTTGTTAAACCAGTTGTTAGATCATTTTCAGAAAAATTCCATAAAAACAATTAGACAAAATTTAGATTATATTACAGTTCAGCTAGAAAACAATAATAAAAATATTCAAAGGTTTTCTTGCAAAAGAGAGATAAAAGAGCTTATTGACCTCATAGATAGTAAGCCTAAGCAAGTAGAACTTAGATCACTAGAAATAGTTGAACAATTAAAATTAGAAGTTCAAAAAATTTAAATAGCGCAAAAGGAGTTGAGTGAACAAGTACATAAGTTACATAATAAAATAGATAAATTATTAGTTTAATGACTGATTCTAGAACTAGCAGAAAATATATCCAAGCTTTGAAAGAAATTAGTAAGTTAGATAAAGAACCAGTTGATTTAACAGATTTTTCAACACAAGTAGCCAGTAGTAATATTCTCATTAGACAAAATAATTTAATTATTCAATTAGTTTTAAGTTTGGCTAAAAAAATAGATCAAGTTGAAGAACAAATAGTAGAAATAAATCAAATTTACATAACGCATCTTTGCTGGATAAATTAGAAAATTTAACTTTAAGTGCAAATAATAATATTAGAAGGTCTAAGCTAAATCCTTTTGATAATAGAAAATGGAACTCTTTAGGAAAAAAGGAAAAGAAGTTAGAGCTGAAAATATTTATCCAAATAAAGAAGAAGTACAAGAATTTATTCGAAGAGGTTTTGAGAGAACACAGAAAAATAAATATAATTTGTATCAATTAGGTTTATTTGAAAATAGAAGCAGAATTGTAAGTAGCATTAATCAACATGAAGTTGGTTGTATTGATAAAGAAGTTACACTTAACTTAATTAGTAAAAAAACAGTTACTCATTTGAGAAAATCATATTTTAGTCAAATTCATATAAGAACAATATTAATTGGAATAGCAAGATTAACCAGAGCACAAGTAGGCAAAAAAACATTAGTATACATATATGATGATAGATGTGATAATCACCAACAAGCAGCAATAGCAACAACTAAACTAGATTTAAGTTCAAACTTAGCAGATTCAAGCTTGCCAAATTATGTTATGACAATTAATGAGTTTAGTAAATATATTAAAGTAAACATAAGAACAAAAAATTATAATATGAAAGGAGAGTATAAAAATTTGTGTATTAGCTTAATGTATATTGGTAAAGTGTCTGATAAATATAATCATAAGTTTAATTTAGAATTTCAAAATTTAGTTCAAACATTTGGTGGTAAAAATGTAAATATGATAGAAGCAAAACCCGTAGATAATAGCTTTTTAGAAGGAACTCAGTGGATATTACCTAATTTACAAGTAGCAAGAAATAGACAACCAAATAAAGTACAAATATATGAAACTAGTACAAGTGAAGCAATAATTAGGTTTAGTAATTACAAGCAACTAGAAAAAATAGAAGAGGATGAAAGTGAGATCGAAAATGAGAGTATTCATATGGCTTTTGATAATTTAGATATTAATTTAGTTGAGCAAAATTTTGATCATATTGTAGATAAGCTTATAGAAGATATTGATCATTTAGATGAAGAACAATACTTAGAAAAATATAAGACATATGATTTAGGACTACACAGAATTTCAGATGAAGAGATGAAAATTTTAATTTTAGAAATAGGAGTAGAACATATTTTAGAATCAAAAGAATATAATAATTTATTAGAATTGAAAAAAGAATGTAACTCAGCAGAAGAAAGTAGTACATCAAGAGTAGAAAAACCAGGACACGCAAGTAGAACTAACCAACAATTTTTAAGATCAACAAATGAATAATATAATGAAAAAGCAAAAGTAGATTACATAGAAGAAAGTATGATAAAACCACCTAGAAAAAATAGGATTCCATATTTGAGAGGGTTAGAACAAATTAATATAGCTAGTAATATATTAAATTTAGATAATGTAGATTCACAAGATTGGGAAAGAACGATTGAGAGATGGGAAAATGGGAAAATGGTTGTGTGCATGCAACATTAATGATAGATTTTAGTAATTCACAAAATATGTTAGATTACTTTGAGTATACTTTGGATGGTTTAGTTTTTTATTATTTATAGTCATGGAAAGTCCTAAATCTAGAACAACATCAGGCAGCTAAAACACATTTTAATATAGATAGTTTTGTTACTTTAATTAAACAAGAATTTTTAGATATAATAGGTTAGATGGCAAAAGTGAACAAGAACAAATAAAGGAAATTAGAAATTTAGAACAATTACAAATTTGTGATTTACAATATATAGATGAGCATACAACAGATTTCTTTAAATATTTAGGAAGATCAGGTAGAATTAGTGATATTAATTTATTAGATACTTATATGACAAAAATAAAATGACCAATAGGAGAAAAGATTTGAATGAATGGCAAAAGCATCCAAAGAAAAATGATATTGCAATAGGACTTAGAATTCAACATATATATGATATACTTAGACATGAGTGTAACCAAATAAAAGTTAAGAGACAAATTAGAAAACAATTTTACATGAGTTGTAAAAATATAGATTTACCACAACAATATGGTTATTATAAAAAGAATAAGTATAAGAAAATATACAAAAAGAAATATAAGTCATACAAACAATACAAACAGCATAAGAATTTCAGCATAAGACCTTCAAGAACATATGGAAAGAGAAAATATATTCCAAAACAATTTAGGAAAAGAAGTGGCAGACCTTAGATTAGAAAATATAAAGCATCAAAAGATAAGAGTAGTTGTAAATGTTATTCATATGGAGAAGTTTGACATATTAGACATAAATAAAATTAGGTAAACAGCCGACAGAAAAAGTACATTTAATGGAGTCGTTGAAGTTATAAGAAGATAAAGATATATAGTCAATATATAACTTAGATGATTTAAGTGATAATGAAAGTATTTATAGTATAGAAAGTATAAATATGATAGATTCAGACTCGGAAGATTCAAGTAGTACAAATAGTGATTTAAAAGAGCATATGTGTGCATTCATAGAAGAGTAACATGAAGAAGAATATAAATACATTAATTTAGGTTGGTCAGAAAAATGTCATAAGTGTAGTAAGTTAGTTGTAAATAAGTACTATAATACATATTCAATATTGTGCGAAAAGTGTTATAATAATAAGTTACTAGAAATTAATTCAGCAGAATCACAAGAAAATACTGAAATATTAGGTAATATTGTTTATAGTATAGAAAAGCCAAAAATTAGTTCTTTAATTACCATAAATTGTGAAATAGAATTAACAGAATAACATAAGATACAAACAACAGCTATGATAGATACAGAGAGTACAAAGAGTATCATAAGAGAAGAGTTAGTACCAGAAAAATATAGACAAAAATTAATAAAACCTGTGAGAATAACACAATTTGATGAGAGA